CTGGGACGTATCTGATGATGCAGGAGAAAGATGGGGTGACCTTAGGAGTGAAGAATTCCTCAGAAGAGAGGAGAAACTTGTGATTTGGCCATGGTGGGATGACAAACACCAGAATAGCCTTCTGGTCGTAAACAACTAGAATACTAGGCAAAATATTGAAAACAACAGGCAGTGCCAGCCTGTGATCAGAAGGAAACCAAATGTAGTGACTCCAGTGAAGAGCCTAGACTTCTGCCTCAGGGCACTTTTCGGGTCATGGTACAGGAAGGGGGTCTCCTGAGTAGAACCTGTAGTCTCCATTATTAGAGCTAACAAGCCTATAGTGGAGGAAAAAAAAATAGAAGACCAGAAACATTTGATGAATCCAGAAGTCAGGAACAGAGGAGAAAAGGAACAAAGAACAGATGGGACGAATAGAAAACAAAAGCGCAAGATGGTAGACTTAAACCCAACCATTAAATGTAAATGGATTAACCAGACCAATTAAAAAACAGAGATTATCAGACTGGTTAAAAAAGTAAGCCCAAACCACATGCTGTCTATAGGTGCATTTTAAATAAAGACACAGACAAGTTAAAAGAACAGAACAGAACAAAGTTATATAGAGAAATAAATTAAGCATAAGGAAGTGGGTTGGCTATACCAGACCAAGCAGATGTCAAAAGAAGGAATATTACCAGAGATAAAGAGGGGCATTTCCTGATAATAAAATGGTCAATTTATCAAGAACACATAACAGTCCAGGGCGCCTGGGTGGCTCAGTCAGTTAAACATCTGACTTCAGCTCAGGTCATGATCTCAGGGTCCTGGGATGGAGCCCTGCGTTGGGCATCCCCACTCAGTGGGAAGTCTGCTTGTCCCTCTGCCCCTCCCCCTGCTTGTGTTCTCTCTCTCTCAAACAAATAAAATCTGTCAAACAAAAAGAACACATAACATTCCTAAATGTGTATGCACCCAACGAGAGCTTCAATTAGATGCAGCAAAATCTGACAGAACCAAGAGGAGAAAGACAAATCCATAATTACATTTGGAGACTGTGATACTTTCCTCTCAGTCTGCCAGAGAGAACTGGTAGAGAGAAAAATCAGTAAGGATACTGAAGACTTGAACAACACTATCAACCACCTTGAGCTAACTGACATTTATAGAACACACCACCCAACTGCAGAACATACACTCTTTTCAAATAAGCATGGAACATTCACCAAGCTAAACCATATGCTAAGCCATAAAACAAATCTCAATAATTTTAAAAGAAATGAAATCAGGCAGAGTAAATTCTCTGTACTACAATGTAATTAATGTAATTAAAAACACTTAACAGGGGCGCCTGGGTGGCTCTGTCGTTAAGCATCTGCCTTCAGCTCAGGTCATGACCCCAGGGTCCTGGTATCGAGCCCCACAAAAGCCTCCCTGCTCCGCGGGAAGCCTGCTCCTCCCTCTCCCACTCCCCCTGCTTGTGTTCCCTCTCTTGCTGTGTCTCTGTCAAATAAATAAATGAAATTTTTAAAAAAAATAAATAATAAATAAATAAGAACACATAACAAAAAGATACAGGCCAAATTCCCAAATATTTGGAAATTAAATACACTTCCAAGAAAGTCACTGGTTAAAGAAGTAATCACAAGGGAAATTAGAAAACATTATGAACTCAATGATAACGAAAATAGAACATATCCAAATGCATAGAATGCAGCTAAAGATGTTCTTAAAGGGAGTTTATAGCTTTAAATGCTTATGTTAGAAAAAGAAAGGTTTAATTTTTTTTTTTTTAATTTTAAGTAAGCACCATGCCCAACGTGGGGCTTGAACTCATGACACTGAGATCCAGAGTCACATGCTCTACTGTCCGAGCCAGCCAGATGCCCCGATAAAAAGGTTTAAAATAAACGATTCAATGGGCGCCTGGGTGGCTCAGTCAGTTAAGCGTCTGCCTTCGGCTCAGGTCATGATCCTGGAGTCCTGGGATCGAGTCCCGCATCGGGCTCCCTGATGAGCAGGGAGCCTGCTTTTCCCTCTTCCTCTGCCCTTGCTTGTGCTCTCTCTGTCAAATAAATAAATAAATAAATAAAATCTTAAAAAAAAATAAAATAAATGATTTAAGGTAATACTTTAAGAAGCTGGAAAGGATGAGCAAGTTAAGCCCCAAATAAGTTTTATTACTCCAAAATAAGTAAAAGAAAGGAAATGATAAAAGAGTGGAAATCATCAATAGAAAATGGATAAACGATGGAGAAAAATCAATGAGACCAAAACTTGATTCTTTAGAATGACCGAAAAAATTGATAAGCCTCTATCTAGGCTGATCAAGAAAAAAGGAAAGACACAAAATACCAATACAAGGGAGGAGAGGGGCCACCAGTGCAGATCCTATAAAGGGTTGATAAAGGGGTATCATTAACTTTATGTCAACTTAGATACAACAGGCGAATTCCTTGAAAGACACAAATTTCTGAAACAGACACAGGAAGAAGAAACAAAATCCAAATGGCCCAATATCTGAAGAAATTTAAAGATTTTATTTGGGGCGCCTGGGTGGCTCAGTGGGTTAAGCATCTGCCTTCGGCTCAGGTCATGATCCCGGGGTCCTGGGATCGGGCCCCACGTCGGGCTCCCTGATCAGCCGGAAGCCTGCTTCTCCCTCTCCCACTCCCCCTGCTTGTGTTCCCTCTCTCGCTGTGTCTCTCTCTCTCAAATAAATAAAGTCTTTAAAAAATTTTTTTAGGATTTTATTTTTATGTAATCTCTACACCCAACATGGGCCTCAAACTGATAACCAAGATCAACAGTTGCACACACGACCAACTGAGCCAGCCAGGCATCCCGTGAGGAATTGAATTTGCAACCTTTCCACAAAGAAAACTCTGGGTGGAGATGGCTTCACCGGTGAGCCCATCAAATACGGAAGTAACACCAAGCATACACAAGCCCTTTAAGAACCTAAGAGGAGAAGGCAACACTTTCCAATTCGTTTTGTGAGGGCCCTGATGCCAAAACCAGATGGACATTACCAGAAAACTGCAGGTCAATATCCCTCACGAACACAGATGCAAAAATTCCCAGGAGATATTAGCAATGGTGAAAGACAGAATGAAAGAGTATTTTGCGCCCAAGTTTGAGAACAAGGTAAGGGTGTCCATTTTCACCACTTCTATACAACACTGACTAGAGGCCCTAACCAGTGCAGTAAGGCAAGAAACAGAAAGGCATAGAGATTGGAGAGATTGGAAAAGAAGTGGTAACTACCTTTATTTCCAGAAGAAATGATTGTGTACATAGACTATTCCAAGATGTCTACCCAAAAAAACGACTAGAGCTTGGTCCATTCCTTGATTTTGGCACCAAAAAATGAAAAAAAACAAAAACCTACTAGAGCTAACAAATGAATTTACCTAATGCAAAGCCGTTATTAAAAACTCAATTGCAGGGGCACCTGGGTGGCTCAGTCAGTTAAGTGTCTGCCTTCGGCTTAGGTCAGGATCCTGGGGTCCTGGGATCGAGCCCCGCATCGGGCTCCCTGCTCAGTGGGGAGCCTACTTCTCCCTCTCCCACTCCCCCTGCTCATGCTCTCTCTCCCTCCCTGAAATGGGTAAAATCTTTAAAAATAAATAAAGTTTAAAAAGCTGAATTGCATTTCCAGAAACTATCACTGATCAATTAGACAATGAAATAAAGGGGCACCTGGGTGGTTCAGTCAGTTGAGTGTCAGACTCTTGGTTTTGGCTCATGATCTCAGGATCGGGAGACGGAGCCTCGAGTCGGGCTCGCGCGCTGGACATGGAGCCTGCTTGAGATTCTCTCTCTTTCTCTCCTTCTGCCCCCCCCCAACCCCAAAGGAAAGAAAATGAAATAAAGATACCATTTGCAATAGCATCAAAACCATAAAAAATACATGGGTGTGGAAAGGAGGGCCTCTGGAGGATTTGTTTAGTGGGGTGTGGGGCAGTGTGTCTGATGTTGGGGTTGGAGTTAGGAACCCCGAGATGAAAAGCATCGGAAAGACTCGAGCCTTTCAGTGCAACAAACTCCGAGAGTACAGCCAGAGGTTGAGACGTAAGCTTTTATTCCTCCTGGACAACTTGGATTTCAGCAACGCCTAGCTTCATGGGGCATGTAGTGTGACTCATGGTCGCAGATACATCATCGTAAGCCTGTGCTACTTTCCAGGACAATTACATGAAACCTGACTTGCTTTTAAAAATGTGAGTCCGATTTTCTTCTTCCTCCCTCTTTGCCTCGCTTCCAACTCCCCACCTTCCTGGGGCTTCTCGCTGTCTGGGTCACACAAGGTCTGGGCCTAGCCCAGCCTTGGGTAGTGGCCCCTCTGTCACCGTCAGTGCCCTGAGACCAAGCCGGTGGCCTCTGGAGCCTGACCTGGCTTGGCACCCGTCGGTGGGCGCACCCAGGAGTGGCCTGGCCAGCAGGCCATCACGTTAGGCTTTGCTCCCGGGTCCCTGGTGCAGCCTGCAGACACGGGCCTGATGAGAGGGCACTGCCGGGCTCTCGGGGGTGTCTCGTGCGTGAACTGAACCACAGAACAGCCACACCTCACTTTTCCAAGTTACAAGAGGCTGGGAGGGCCCCAGGCCTCATATGCTCTGTTCTACAGAGCGGCCTCTTTTCCCTGGGGCTTCAGCCAAATCCAAAGAGAAGACCTAAGGGCTGCCCTGCCCAGGTCTTAGGGGAGCCAGCTCCCTGCTCCATCCTACTGGACCGGCCACCCCGCTCACCTCTCCTCCCCGACAATAACGGCTTTCCTGTCCCCCAAATGCTGGAACGAAGGCAGGCCTTTGAGACAGCTTCTAGCAGCTGGCCGGGGGCGCTCCGAGCCCAGCCTGTGCCCATACCCCTAGAGCAGCTGGGGCCACCACCTGCTCTCCCCTGTGCGGAGGAGGCCCCCATCCCCCACCGCCCACAGGCTGCTGAGGATTCGAGAGCCATGAGAACTTCCGACTATGAGAACTTTGACTTCCAGGTTTGGGGAATGCCAGGTGAACAGATCAGCTCTGAAATTCATCACTCTCTTCGGGCCCCTGCCTGTTTTGGTGTTCCACAGCGAAGCCTGCAGAAGGAAGAAATACCAGTTAGTAAGCGGGGGAGGCTCCCCAGCTGCCAGAAGGCCTGGCTCAAGGGCTGGACTGTGCTGCCATCTCAGGTTCTGGGCATTCCCTGGAATTAGGGGTTTGAAATGGCACCTGGAAGGGAAAGTACCTGCTGGAGCTTTGTATGTTCTGGAAGCAATGGGGGGGGGGCTGGCACCCCCAGGCTAAGGGAAGGTGTTGCTGTCAGGAGGAGGTGAGGGAGCTCACACAAGGCCTTGTCCAGAATACACAACTTCCCGGGGGAGGCGTCGGGGGCAGGCTGGGCTTCTAGCCATCGTCAAGAGGGGTGGCCTGCCTTTGAGCTGTCCCACGCCCTCAGGGAGCAGGGGCCTTGTCCATGCCCGATGGGAACAAACACTGTGCTGTTTGGGGCTGGCATGAGGAAGCGTGCCCGAGCGGCCCTGGAGGCCGGCCATCCAGCTGCAGAGCGCACAGCCGAGCCCTGTCCCTCGAGTATGGGGCCAGTCCCAGGGGTACCTGGGAGGGAGCTTGATGACAGCAGCTGCAGGCTGTCCAGGACCCCATCCTCATACAAGGCCAGCTTCTGCACCATCTTCTGTCGGGCCGGGTTGATGACGATCCGCGGCGGCCGCGATGAGGCGGAGCTGCTCACAAGTGATCCTGGGGCAGAGAGAGCACCCTCTCAGCTGCTGGGGCCACGGTCCCTGGGCACTCCTCAGTGACGCCGCTGGCCTCACGGGTCTTCCCAGCCCCCAGCTTAGCTCCCTGCCCCTTTGGGACAGAAGTCCTCCGTGCCGTCTCTGAAGGAAGGGCCTGGAAGGGGCCATGCCGTCGCCCGGGCTCCCGGCTAGGCCAGGAACCTGGTCCGGAATAAAGCCTTCCTTGTTCCCGGCTTTCAGGAAGTGAGCTCCTGGCCCCTTCTCACCCACCTGGAGGGCAGGGCCTGGAGCTTGCTAAGGACGGAATGAGATTCAGCGCAGGCCCCCGGTTCTCTCCTCCCAGAAGGCTGGGGGCAAGGAGTATGGGGACTGTCACCGAAAGAGGCCCCCGGTCCCTCTTCCGGGCACCTGTCCCCAGCTACCTTCCATAGCTGTCAGCTGGGGCCCTGGGCCACTCCCCCAGCTCGACTCTTGGGTGGCGCCCCCTTGAGTACAGCCGGCCTGCCCAAGGGCTGCTGGGGCCCACACGGTGGCCCCTTGCCCGGGGCTGCCTGGCCAGGCCGGGCCTGGGGGGCAGCTCGGGCTCAGGTGCCAGGACTGCAGGGCAGCAGACAGCCCGGACACACTCTCGTCACTCTCCACGGGCTGGTTGGGGCCTTTCTGGAGCCACTCTGGAGCCTGGGCTGGTGCTCCTGACGGAACCGCCAGGGGCTGCAGTGGGCTGGCACCACGTTGGGCACTGCCAGTGAGGGAAATGTAGGAGTTTTCCTGTGGGGAAGAGGGGCCTCGGCTGGCAGCCTCTGGCTGCAGGGCTGGTCCTGCCACGGCCGCCTGCAGCTTCTCCAGACTCTCATACACCTGTGAGGAGAGAGGGGGCTCTCAGGGGGAGTGGGCCAGGCTGGGCCACTCCCCAGCTCCACGGGCAGGCCACGACTGGCCACTCAGACCGCTCACAGCCGTGACGTCAGAGGGCCCTGCCCCAGAACACCGTGGTCATACCACAGGGCTGCTCCGGGTCATCTGTGGCCTGGCTTGGGGCCTGGGCCCCCTGGACGCCGCAGAGACCACGAAGCTGGGAAAGCTCTGTCCCTTGCCTTTTTATCCCTGTCACAGGGAATGCTGAGAAGTCACGGCCACTAAAATGAAGGACTGAGAATGGCTTTTCTCTGTCTTCTGGAAAGCAAATCTCACTGCCCTACTGCCCTCAAATGGGGCCTCTCCGTTCTCACCCGTCAGGGGAAAAGAGGCGAGGGTCAGGCAGCTGCGGCGGCACAGTGCACCCAGAAGGGGGCGCAGTAAAAGCCCTTTGCTTCTCTCTCTCTACCAGTGGGCTTCAGCAGGAGGCTCCAGCCACCCTAAGCAGAACTGAAGGGCAAGCTAAAAATGTTTGGAGATTGTCTCCAGAAAGAGGTCTGGCAGGTGCCATGGGCAGCACCTGGAATGCGGGGTTTCTGATAGGCTACCACCTGCCATGGGCAGCCAGAGTCTCGACCGCTTTCCGTCCCTACCAGCCTCCCTCCTGCCCAGGGCTACCTGGGTCATGCGGGGTCTCCTCTTGGCCCGGCGGTGCAGGCAGCAGCAAGCCAGCTGGCCCAGGGCCAGGCCCAGCTCGGGTGGGCATGGCCCAGGCCTGGGGTCCAGGTGCTTCTTACAGATCTGGGTGGCAATTGGGGCAGCCCAGGCATCTGTGGCCAGACCTGCTTGGAGTGTGGTCTGGGTGCTTTTCAAAGCCACCCCGGCCTCCTCAGCCTCTTCTTCAACGAGGTCTTTCTGTGGGACAGATAATATGAGCGTGGCCACGGGTGGGGCGGGGGCGGGGGGGGGAATGCCTTCAGCCCCATTCCCCAGGCTCTCATCACTGACTCCTGTGGTCTTTCTTGAGATTTATTAAGCACCCATTGTGTGCCCAGCACAGCCCCAAGGTCCTAGGGATCCAGTGACAGAGCACCCCAGGCCCACCTTCATAGAACTGACTTCCTGCTGTGGGAGAGACAACAACAAGCCTCTAAACCAATGGAAAACTTCGACAGACAGGCCCGTGGGGCTTCTGACCAGGGCCTGAGCAAATAGCACTTGGAAGCTGGGATCTGAAGGCACAAATTAGCCAGAGGTCAGAGCCGAGGAGGAAAGGGAGCACCCCACAGAGAGGTACCTAGGGGTGCAAACGGAACTGGAGGCCGTCTTTGGTTTTGAGATGGGAATGACCAGGAGGAAGCACCTGGGTCGGGGGTGGCCTTTGAGGCAGAAGGAAAGGTTCAAACCAAGGCCCTGGGGCAGGCAGTGGGAAGCTAGCTGAGTCTGAGGGACAGAGAGAAGGTTGGTGATAGCAGGACCTGGGGAGTTGTGGCCATGTTAAGGGATTGGGCCTTCACCCCAAGCACAGTGAGAAGGCAAAGGGGCTTCCACAATCTCTTTTTTTGTTTTTGAAAGATCGCTTTGGCCGTGGCATGGAGAACAAATAGGAAGGGTCCAAAGAAGCCCAAAGAAGGATCCCTGAGGGGTCTGGCCCACTGCCCTGGGGCAGCTATGACAACGTGGAGAGCAACCTGAGTTGGGTTGGCTCTACCCACAGAGCCAACAAGATGTGCTGACGGATGTAGAAGGTGAAGGAAGGAGGGCTCCTGGCTGGCTCCCCGATTCTAGCCTGACCCACCGAGACTTGGTAATGGACAGAAACCACCCCAGGCCAGGAACAGGAGCAGCAAGAGGTATACCAGTTGTAAAACGTAAAGAACAAACGTGACTGAATGCGTTCTGGGCCCGAGAAGACTCTGAGCACTGAGCACGGCACGTGTATGATGTCTGTTCACATGTGGGGAAGCGGGCCCAGCAAGGACCACTGTCAAACTGGGACTAGAACCCATGCCTCCTGTCTCAGCCCACAGTGAGGCAAAGAGAATCCAAGGGGTGGGGGCAGCTCCGCCACAACCTGGAGCGCTCGTCTACGGCGCGCCCGATTTCCCACCACAGCCTCTCCCAGGGCCCTGTGTTCTGTTTTCCACTGTAGCTTCTGGTCCCAGAGCACTGGGACTGCCTTGCTGGGACGACCCCTTCCCCGCTCCCGGCCCAGGTGCCACGTCTGGAAAGGCCCCTAGCATCGGCAGAAGAAAGACAGGTTTTTCCTCAGCAAGGTCAAGGGAAGCCGTTTGGAGCCCTGCCTACTTTCAAAGATGAGTCAGCAGTAGCAGAGGCTGGCTTCTGTGGGGCACTGCATTCCAGATCATTCCACCCTCCAGGGCTGCACCTGTTGGTTATCAGGAGTAGCGCCTCCCTGCCTGCCCGCCTCCCTCCCTCCCTCCCTCTCCCCTCTGCCTCCCCGCCCACCTCCCTCCGTCCCTGCCCCACCTCAGGAGGCTCACCAGATACTTGGTCCCAGTACCATGCATCCTCACGGCCCTCTGGCCGGCCAGGGTCTCCAGCACTACCTGGGGACGGCAGGACGGAGAGTGTCGCAGTGGCTCCTGGGGGCTTGGCAGGGAGGGCCGTACGATGCGGGGCTTGTGGGGTGGAGAGGGCGGCCTGGCCCAGAGAAGCCGCTAAGGTGGACAGGGGCACGGCCCTCGGACGGGCCGATGAGGGCAGGCTATGGGACTGACGCTTCGGCGGTTTGGAGGGCCCACTTGAGGAAAAGGACCGCAAAATTACACATATGAAATGAGATGCAGGGCCCCCATGGGAGGAGCCCATGGCAAGTAGAGAGGGGCTCTGGAGCTGAGGCTCCCGTTAGCTTCCTGCCAGATTGGCCTCTGGTCTCATATGGAATTATCCAGGCCCTCCTGCCTTTGCTTGGCCACAGCTCCCCCAACCCCTGAGCCAGCAGAGGGGCCAGGGGCTCACCACGCCGAAGCTGAAGGTATCCGTGTCCACAGCCAGTCTCCCTGTCTTGACGTACTCCTCAGGCAGGTAGGCCAGGGTGCCACGCACGGTCCGTGTCCGGGCCACCGTGCTGCTCTGGCCGGGACTGGCCCCTGCAAAACGGCTGAGACGGGCCAGGCCAAAGTCTCCCAGTTTGGGCATCAGTCTCTCATCCAGAAGGACGTTGGAACTTGGGGAGGGAAAGAGCGGTGTCAGGTCGGCCCTGGCCCGCTCTGCACCCGACACTTGCCTGGCCCCGACAACCCTGGACTCAGGGTGGGCCAGCTACCTGGGGGCTCCCTCACAGGGTTCGGTCCCTGCTTACCAGTTGTCGGGGGGGGGCATCCTTGGCTTCTGCTTCCACACCTGTCCCATGCCAGGTACTCAAGTGACCCAGGGTCCCCAGCTCTGATGTCCCAGGCCTCAGGGCTCCACCCCGTCCCTCACCTCAGCCTCAAGCAGGAGAGGGCAAGCCTATTCTCATGGGGGACACCCAGAGCAGGGCTCCTCGGGGCTCGGAGAGCAAGTACCACTGCTGCCTACTGACAGAAGGTTTGGGAGCATCACCCCCCTACCACAGACTCTATCCTTACAGCGCTTAGAGGCCCCAGAGGCCTGTGCGCCCCCTCACCTTTTGACGTCTCCATGGATGAGGCTGGGGCTGTCCTGGTGTAAAAACTGAATCGCCCGTGCTGTGCCCAGAAGGATGTTCAGTCGCTGAGGCCAGGAGAGAGGGGGGCAGGCCTGGCTCTGGAGTGGCAGAGGAAGCAAAGGGGCTGGGAGGGCCACGGTTCCTTCACCCCCAACTCTCCCTCCACCTGTCACTGTGGGTTCTAGACAAACCGCTTCACTCTCTGGGCCTCAGTTTCCTCTTCTGGAAAATGGGGAGCAAAATCTGCACGAGCTACTTCACAAGAAGGTGGAGACTAAGCTATTCCACTGCTTTGTAAAGCATGCGGAATGTGCTTCCCAGAGTCATCGTGAAATGGGGCGCTCCTCAGTGCTTGGAGCTCCTTCCTTCTCTCTGGGGCCATCGGGATGTTGTCGGAGGCATTCTCCCCAGCTCCCCCAGCACAGCATGCCTGTCCTGAGAGCGGAAGTGCCCTGTGTGCCGTCAGCCCTTGCGTCTTGTGGGTGCGTGGCTAGAGGAGGGTCAGCTGCAGGTCCAGATGGCGCAGTTTACTGCCCACTGCCTCCTATTCTCAAGGGCCATGCTGATAAGACCCTTCAGCTAGTCTGCTTGCAAGAGGAAGGGGCATGAGTTGGGGCACCGAGTCAATAACCCCCTTTTTAGAAGCAGCTTGAGCCAGGCTCCCAGGCATGCAGGAACAGCTGGGGAGGGACCACGGGAAAGGGTGCCAGGGAAGACGGCAGCCCACCTTGGGCCAAAGCCTGATCCCGGGCCCTGCCCGCTGGTGGGACCCACTCCCAGAGCCTGAGAGCTTCAGCCAGGTGCTGGGAGGGCTGTGGGGCCAGGGAAGCGTGCCAGGCCAGGGACGGCTACCTGGGAGTGGAGGCGGTCTTCCAGGGAGCCATTGGGCAGGAAGCCATAGACGAGGCAGTAGAAGCCACTCTGAGCACAGTAGCCAGCGAAGTCCACGATGTTTGGGTGACGAAACCTGCTTGCAAGAGGGGGGCCTGAGTGCTTTCCATTTGGCCATTGTGGGGGTGGGCTCTGGGGGCCTGAGGGAGCCAGGTACCACGCTTTGTGGTCCTGGAGGCCAACGGGGCCCTGACCCGGTTCTCCCTCTGCCCCCAGACTCACCGTGACAGTTGCCCCACTTCGGTCAGGAAGCTCTGCTTCACTGTGGTCCACTCCAGGTCGGCCCCCTGCAGCCCCCAAGGAAAATGAGGGCGGGGAGGCAGCATGAAGCTCTTGCAGCCAAGGCCTGATGACCGCTCTCACTGCCACCTGTCCTGGGCCCAGAACCACCACGGGGCTGGGGACCTCGAACCGGGGAATCAGAGGGCTGAACGGGGTACACGGGGGAGCATGGGAGAAGCACCAGAAAAGTGAGGGTCGGCCGACAACCTGCCAGGGCCTTTGCTGGGAAGGCTATACCCACCTCCTTCAGCCTCTTCACAGCATACAGTGTGTTCCTCATCACTGCCCGGTACACACACCCGAAGCCACCCTCCCCGATCTTCAGCTCCTCTGAGAAGTTGTGGGTGCCCTGGGAGATCTCGCTGAGGGGCCAGCAGAATGGAGAGGGCTGGGCTCCCTGCAGAAGGGACACTGGGCTCTCTGGGTTAGGCTGTGGGCAGAGATCCTGGATCAGGTGAGGTCCTCTGTCTTCCCCTCTGCCCAAAAGTCACAAGCGCCCCCTATCCCACTGCCTCCTGGCTGGCCCTACTGGGCTGGCTGGGGTGCCCAGGTGTACCAAAGGCTACATTTTTTTGCTCCTTGTCTTGAATCTTTTCCTGGGGGCAGGACCCACCTACCTTGGTAGAGGAAGGGGCTGGATATGGTGGTGGTGGCTGGAGGGCAGCAGGGCTTGGGACAGGACTGAACTCAGCCCCGGAATGGGTCTGGGAGCCTGGAAAAGCTTCATAAAGATACCAGTGAGAGGCAGGCCGAGACCGACGGCATGGTTTATGGCAGTGGCCATGGTCAAGGTGGCCCTTTCCAAAGGTCCACCAAGCCCAACACCCGGGTTCTCTTACCTGGGGAGGGGAGAGTGGAGGCTGACGTCTGCAACTTCCGGGGGCGGGGGACCTCAGCCTCACAGGGTGCAGGGGGGCTGCTGGGCCTCGGCGTGCTGGGGGGCAGAAGAGGGGCGGGAGGGTGCCCTGGGACACCAGGAAAGAAAA